TCTGAAAATATTAAATAAAAAAGTCCAGAAATATATAATTCATAAGTTATAAATCTAAGTAGCATGATAAAATCTTGTGCCATCCAGCTCCATCCTGCTTAGCCCATGAATCATCCCTTTGTCCAGGGTATCCACACTGTATATGCTACCTTCCTGTTAGTCACTTAGTAGCCATCTCTGTTATCAGATTGCTGGTTGAGGTTTCACCGTGCTTCTTTTCAAATAACCCTTATTTTACTCAATAATGGTTCCTAAATATGAGTAGTGATACAAAGGAGGTCCAGGATATGAAACACAGAAGGACAGATCAACTCTCATACTAAGTGGTAATGTTGAAGGGTTGTAGGAAGAAGCATAGTAGGGATCAGTACTATCAAAGGTTTCAGGGATCACTGAGGGTCTTGGAACATACTCCACTTGAATAAGAGGAGACTACCCTAATAGTCTTTAGTATTTACCAGGCACTTTTTTTAGACTTTCAGGTGCTTATCTCATTTAATACTTATCATCTTATGAGGACATACCATTATCCTCTCAATTTTACAAATCAATTCCACAGTTTATYCTGAAAAGGAAATTGAGAAATTTATGTGTGATGTATATGATGTGAGGAATCCCTGGGGAAGATGAATATCTTTCAAAGAGATAAGTAGCGCAGAGTTTGGAAAACTAAAGCTCGATGTTCTGGCCCTTTCCTTGTTACTCTGTCTTCCTCCTCCAGCCCAGCTGCTGCGATTGGGTATGTTATGGTTAAACTTTATGGGAGACATGGAACTGGGGCGGCTCCAATGTTCTCATTTCAGGTTTTAAAGGAAGTTTGCCTGAAGCTGCGCTACCCCTGCCTACAACAGGAAAAGAGCTAGGTAGTGGAGGACTCAGCTCTGGGGCCAGGATGCTGCTTGTGGGAAGTCTCTAGAAACCCTACTTGTGGGGTTTTCTCACCTAGTGGTTGTTCCTGCTGGAGATGGATCCTGGGGTCCTGTCCCAGAGGGAAGCAAGTGACAGAAGCGTTCCAGAGCAGAACCTGGCAAGTTGGAGGGTACAGAATGAAAATAGAAGACAGATGGGTTCGGAAACATGAAGGGCATCTTGAGAAGATAGAAGTGGAATTCGATGATAGAACAGAAGGCCGATGGACATGGCATCTACGAAGCCGTGAACCAAGAAGCAAGAAATGGTTCAGGAAAGATAAGAGCTAACAGATCACAAAATTATGAATAAAAGATGAATTATGTAATAGTTAGTCAGATCTACATCTTTTATCAAAGAGCCGAAATAGTTTAAGACAAATAGAGAGTCCCTATGCACCCTGGCCCATGCCCCATTTTGGAGACCTTCTTTTGCCAGATGGATCCAGAGCAGGCCCATGCACCCCTTCCTCCTGAGCAGCAAGCCTCTGGAGAGGCCTGGTCTTTGAAAGCTTTTGTATCTCAGTGAATGTTAAGGGAATTAACAAAGAAAGCTTTCATTAAAAAGAACTACTAAAAAATAACTGATCTGCCTTCTTCCTCCTTTGGTGTGTAACACTCAAATTTTGCTTTTGAAAATCCCTTCCAGGCAGCCACGATGCCCCCGTTTCATCTACTCACCTGCAGAACCACTGTCCGAATATTCTCCTTACCCTCTTTTGCAGTTAACTGCTAATCACACAAGTAGGTGATATGATGGACAACTGATTTTTGTGTGTTTTTGAGATCTATAAAAATGGTATTGTGTGCTGTGGTGTAACAGCTCAGTGGTAGAGGACTCGCCTGGCATGTAACAGGCCCTGGGTTCAATCTGGGTTCAATCCCCAGCTCCACGGAGGGAAAAAAAAAAAGTCTAGTCTGGCACTTTCTGCAAATAGCTTTTTCCCACACTTTATTTATCTTCTTCTCTTTGCAGTGGGCTGTTTCCAGTTTTTCTTTTTTAAGCTGGAAACTGCTGTTTAAAAAGGTTTTTTTTTTAATGCATGTCTTCTTGTATATTTGTGCAAGAATTTCTCTTGAGTCTATACACGGGAGTGAGACTGCTGGGTCAGATTTACAAAATAATAYCAGAGTGTCTTCCAAAGTGGGCAACTGACATTCCCATCCATAATACATGAATCTCGTTGATTCACACCCTCTCTCTCTGCTTGTCGATCTTGGCCAGTGTAGAGGGTAGAAGAAGGAATCTAGTTCAGACTTAATTTGTGTTTACTGACTCACTACAGAGGAGGGTGTCTTTTTATGATTATTGGTCATACATGCTGTACTGGGTGGAATAGAGTCCTACCTGTCCCCGTATTCAGGTCCTGAATGTGATGATCTGGAACATCACATTGTGGGCTTGTGAGGAAATAGGGTCTTTGTAGATGTAATTAGCTAAATTATCATGAAGATTATGACTAGATTAGAGTGGGTCCCAGATCCAGTGGCTGGTGTCCACAGTGGGGGCCATGTGAAGAGACAAGCAGAAGTTGGAGTCCATGAGTCAAGGATTCCAGAACCTGCCATTAGCTACCAGGAAAAGGTAAGGAAGGGTCCTTCTCCAGGGACTTCAAGTGGACATGGCTCTGGGGGGCCTTGACTTGGTTCCATTGGTCAATTTTTTCTTAGTTGTCGATGGATCTTTATTTTTTATTTATTTTTATGTGGTGCTGAGGATCGAACCCAGGACTTCACACATGCCAGGCGAGTRCTCTGCACTGAGCCACCACCCCAGCCCCCACTGGTCAGTTCTTAAGAATGCCTAGGGCAAGCCCACGATGCCTTCACTGCAGAGCTTTGTGTAAGCCTGGGTGGGTTTCAGGCAATTCCTCACCCTCTCCATTTTACATAAAGGGGATAAAGCAAAAGCGGCTGGTGTCCTGCCCATGTCCCTTTGGGTTCCCTTACATTCCCTGTTGCATGACCCGTTTCCTGGGAGTGCCTCTCAATAAACCACTTTCACATAAATCCTGTCCCCTGGGAACTAACCTATTTTAAGCCTTTGACATTCCACATACATTTTAGAATCTCTTTTCAGCTGACATGAAAATCCTATTGAGGCACAGACTAAGAACCATTGGATCATACATTCAAATGGAAGACCTGTAAGATATACAAATTATATCTGAAAAAAGCTTTTTTTTAAAAAAATGTTTTTTTTTTAGTTGTAGATGAACACAATAACTTTATTTAGTTATTTTTATGTGGTGCTGAGGATCAAACCCAGTGCCTCACATGTACTAGGCAAGCACTCTACCACTGAGCCCCAACCCCAGCCCCAAATAAAGCTGTTTTTAAAACAGAAAATATTTTGTTTGGAGTTGTAACACACACACACACACACACACACACACACACACACACATATGATTTGGAGGGAGAATTATGCTCTTATGAGATTAAATGTTTTTAAACATATATATATTTTTCCATTTATAGGTCTCATTAAATAGCTTTCAACAGTTTTTACAACTTTTTATCTAATGGTTTTGTACACGTTTTATTAAATTTATTTCTATGCACCCGATAATTTTGTTGCTATTGTAGACAGTGGAAGTTTTGCTTTGTTTTAATTATGCTTCCTGTTTGTTGCTAGAGCACCAAAATGCAATTGACTTTTATGCTTGGTCCTGTTTCTTTTATGCCTCCTACTTTGGGGCTGAATTCTGAATATTGTATATGAGAARTGTATGTCAGATTCCTTTATTAATCTGATAAGGCCACGAGTCCCTCTTAGAAATGCATAAAACAAAATACATGGGATTACAAAGAAGCCAATCATATTAAAATGCATCTCTCTCCATAGATTCCTTGGAGACCTGGGACCTCAAGTTTCAAATGCTACAGAAGTGTGGGTGATATTTCACCAGAGGGGTTTGCTGCAGCCTTTGGTTAAAAGAAGGGGTTCTGTCACCTTAACCCAATCATGAGCTGAGCTGATTGAGGCTGAGCTGCGGCTGGGGACCCTGAGACTGTCCATAGTGGGAGCCAGCATGCCCTCAGGTCCCACGGGGCGCTCATTTTAGTGCTAGAGATCACTGTGAAGCAAGAGCGAATCCCAGCCACTTCGTGTTTTGGAGGATCATTACATTTGGCAGAAGCAAATAAAATTTCACAGATARTAGCTTCAGACAGATGGTGGATATCAAGACATTTGATCACAGGCTTCTGACATTTAACAACTTGGGGGCTGCAGTTTTGTTGGCTTTCAGAGATAGGCAGAGCCAATAAGCCAAATAAATTGTTCTTTAGCTTTTTGCAGAAAGTCTGTAAATAGCATTTTATAAGTTCTGTCCATCATCTTTTTATGGGGGACATTAACAATCCCTCTTGCTTAATATTTTTATGAAGGGAATAACATTTCTAAGTATATTTATTAATTGCCAAATTTAACATAAATGAAAGATCAAAGGGCAATTGCCTTTCTTGTTTTTTCCCATCATCAAAAAAAAATGTTTAAGAGATTTAAAAATGTACAGTTTTGACCTTTTAGTTAATTTACATTATGTTTTGGCAATAGATGGAGTTATGTAATAATGCTACCTCCTGAGGGTATTTAGGGTGGGGGGAGTCTCACTATTTAAATATAGAAGTCTTGAATGTTTGGTTAAAAAGGGAATTTTTTCCTCTTTCAATATTTATTTTGCAAACTTTACTAAAACCAGAGCTTTATATTATTGTCGAAAAAGAAAACAAYAATAAATTGACTACTATACTTTCCATGTCACATTATTTGAATTATTTGAGTCCAGCTGGAAGAAAAATAGTCCTTTACAGGATATGGCTCAAAGTAGTCGTCCTAATTCTTTACACTATCTACTCAAATTAGCTCAGACATTTATTGAGCATCTCCTACATGCCRTACACTGTGCTAAGCACAAACAGTGTGGTCCTGGCTCATATYCTAAATTCCATACCATGCTTGTGAGTTCTTTATCCTAACCATGCCAAGTCAGGGGCTCCCAAGTCCAGCAAAAATAAAAAAATTAAAAAAAAACGTTTATTTTTAATAAACTTCTTTAGCAGTTTACAGTCAGGAGAATCTAGAGAGTGCTTTAACTTTCGGCGTATATATTCATTTTGAATTCCACAGCTTCATTCTCTTCTTATTTTGAAGTTCAGACAGGGCAGTTGGCSGGTCTCCTAGTCTCCCCAGTGCTTCGGACCACTTGGAGAAGTGGCTTGAGTTTTAAGTTTCGTCTTTGCAAACGTGGTAGAGAGAAGCTCAGAAGATGGAAGACTGTGCCTCTCATCTACCTGCGAGTCTCTCTTCCCCAAACCCCTCAAGCCCAGAATTTCTGGCCTAGAGATAAGAAAATAAAGAAACTCTGGGGCAGATTTGAGCAGAGCACATGGTGATAGACGGGGCAGAGTGGGGAGAGAGAGCTCTTCAGGGAGACGAGGACTATTGCCCTCAGGTCAGGGGTTTGGGGGCTGATGAAGGAAGAGGCAGGACCACCAGGTGGCAGTATTGCACCACAAGTAGCAGGGCCCCAGCTAGGGCAGGGTGCAGGAGTGGCAGCTTCCCTCCACGCAGAACCCCAGAGACAGTTGGGGTGGGATGAGCACCCAGAAAGAGAAGAAAGCGGGCAATTCCCAGAGAGGGCTCGTGTGCCTGGGTGATGCCGTTCAGCTACAAGGTGGGGTGTCTCTGGGCCAGAAAATGTTAAAGGGACACAACAGTTGGGATTTGTGATGGCTAATTTTGTGTATCAGCTTGATAGGTCATAGGGAGCCCATAGATTTGGTTAAACATTATTTTGTTATGTCTGAGTATGTTTCTGGATGAAATAAACATTTGAATCAGTAGGCCGGGTCAAGCAAATGGCCTTCTCCAATGTGAGTGGGCCTCATCCAATCTGCTGGAGGCCTTTGGAACAAAAAAGACTGAGGGAGACTTTGCTGTCCCTGCCTGGCTGTCTTTGGCTGAGACACTCATCTTCTCCTCCATAGGGCTCAGACTGGGGCCGAAACTTACTCCATTGTTCCTGCTGGGTCTCCAGCTTGTCCACTGTGGATCTCGGGACTTCTCAGTCCCATAACTGTCTGAGCGTCTGTCTGTCTCTCTTTCTCTGTATCTCTCTTCTCTCTCTCCCCCTCTGTGTGTATACACACACACACACACACACACACACACACACACACTGCATTATGTGTATATTAGAATGTGTGTAATACATTCTATTGATTCTTTATCTGGAGAGGTTAATTGCAGGGTCTCTTAGAGAAGCAGGATTTGCCTTATCTATGAGGAGCAGATGTTGGACAGTTTCATGGGTTTATAAAGTAGGCAGGCTCTCAACGGATAAAACTATGTTGCTTTGGACTATATTTCTTACATGTGTAAGAATTGGAGTCTGATGGCCGTGGGCTTTGGCTAACCATCCAGGCTGCTCTGCAGGTGTAGACAACATGGGAGCCCCAGAGACAACTGTAGGGGGAAAAGAGGAGGGTCTCTRATTATAAAGGTCTCCACAGCTAGGGTGCTTTCCTCATTCTGGGGCTCTTTCTCTTGTGGGGTGGGGGGTGTCTTATGTTCTGAGTGAACTCTGCCGTCCTCACCTTCTATCCCACACCATCCTGGAGGACAAAGCAAGGACTCAGGTAACAATAGCCATAGGGACAAAGACAGYTGAATCCTCTGGGCTCCGACCAGTTCCTTGCCCTGCCCTGGCAGAGCCCCATGCCGGTCCCTGTGCCCTGCTTGGCTGGGAGCTGCCTCTGGGTTCCCCCTGCATCCACAGGTGAGTTTGTTTAGTAATGTCATCTTTTTCAGCTCATTGAAAGATGCTTATTATAAAATACCTGGGAAGTGGAAAAATAGAGAATTAAATGACCCACACCAGCAAAACTACTAACATTTTGATGTACTTTCTCTTAGTCTTTTTTTAAACAATTGTTGGTGCATATTAATCAAAGAGAATGGCAAGTTTCATTATGGCATATTAATCCATGCATCTAACATGATTTGATCCATGTCACGCCCTAACACCTCCCCTTACACACCGCTTCCCTCCCCAGGGGCCCTCCCTTCTTCGTTCATGACATTTCTTTTTCCTTTTTTTCTTTTTCCCTTCTTTTCCTACTAGCTTCCCCACGTGAGGGAAAATGCACAGTATGTGGTCTTTCTGAATCTGGTTTATTTCACTTAACATAATGCCCTCCAGTTTCGTACATTTTCCTGCAAATGACAAAGTTTCATTTTCTTTTTTGACTGAGTAAAACTCCTTCATGTATCTGTGCCACGTTTTCTTTATCCATTCATCTTTCTACAGATGCCTGCCTCTTGTGAGTTGTGCTGTGATGGGATAGTCACACTTTGTAAGTGTTGATACTGTGTGCTGGCTTCGACTCTTTGGGGTAGACACCAAGGAGTGGTACAGCTGGATCACATGGTAGTTCTATCTTTAGTTTGCTGAGGAACCTCCATACCATTTCCATAGTGGCTGTATTAATGTACACTCCCATCCACAGTGTATAAGCGTTCCCTGCCACCACCTACATCTCTGCCTGCATTTATTGKTATTTAATTGCTATTCTGACCGGAGTGAGATGGCATCTCAGTCTGGCTTTGATTCGAATTTCCTTTTTTTTGTTTTGAAAAAAAAATTTTTTTAGTTGTCAATGGACCTTTATTGTGTATATTTATATGTGGTGCTGAGAATCGAACCCAGTGTCTCACACATGCTAAGCAAGTCTCTACCACTGAGCCACAACCCCAGTCCCTGGTTTTCATTTTCTTTCTTTCTTTTTTTTTTTTTTTAACATTTCAGGATTTTATTTCCCAAGTGGAACCTTTATGATATATCCTAAACAAAGTGTAGCAAATATTGAACAATCATAAATCACAGTTGGCCTGTGTGTATTCTGATTCTTAGATTTCAAACTTGGTTTAACTATAGTAGTAAAAGGGRTTTTTGGATTTGGAAAGACATTATTACTTTGTGAATAGGTAAATCAGTGACAAAATATAACTGAATACATAACAATTAGTGACAAAAGTGAAACTAGACATATATAACCAAAAAAGATGATGTGGTTAAGGCAAGGAAATCCTGTATGTTGTACTTTCTCTCGGAGGTTAATACTATACTTGTTAAAAGCTACAAGAAATCCTGCAGTAAAGAAGTCTGTTTGAAAGTGGTTACTCCAGCCTTTTCAAATCCTACTAGACCATGCTTCTTTTATTTGACCACTTTTCAAGGGAATGACATATTCAATGATACTCTGTGGGGGAAACTACGCTTAGAAATCGTCCCTTCTCTGGTATTGCATGTGATATTCAGCTATTTTCCTGGGCTTATATATGGCTTGCCATTCTTTCTGGGCTCAGTTCTGCAGTCTTTTTAAACTGTGCAAATCCAGTGATTTATTTATTCTGAACCACTTTAACCTTTGCCATCAACGGATGTGTTTTCTCATTCTCACCTCACAATGCTTTGTTCTATTTTGTTTTTCACTTTTCTGCTCTGAAATTGTCAGTTAAGTAACATCAAATGTCCTTCTCAACTTCTCTATTATCTTTTCTCATAGGCATCCATTACCTCAGAAAGTTGTCATTTATTGAACATCTATAAAATTCTTTCCAGTTGCAGTAACTATAACAAGGTTCTGTTCCACATAATAGGAAGTGGAGAGTTGGACAATGAACAACACATATATTGCCTGCCAGGGCTAATGATAGATACTTGAGTGAAAAATTCAGCATAGTAAGGAGGCTAGGTCAGGAAGGGGGTTGATGGTTATTCTTACATAAAATAGAGAAAGCTGTATTAAGAAGGTGATATTTAGCCAGGTGTGGTAGCAAATGCCTGTAATCCAGAGGCTCAGGAGGCTGAGGCAACAGGATCACATTCTTTCTTTTTTTAAATATTTTTTTCTAGTTGTAGATGGACCCAATATCTTTATTTATTTATTTTTATGTGGTTCTGAGGATAGAACCCAGCGCCTCACATGTGTGAGGCAGGCGCTCTACCACTGAGCTGCTGCCCCAGCGTCCTGATTTGCATTGTCTTGATGGCTGATTTTGAATATCTTTCACCTAAGTGTTCACCACTTTTACTTTTGTTTTTGAGAAATGTCATTCAGTTCATTTACCCATTTATTAAATGGGATATTTGGCTGTTGCGTTTTTTTTGTTTTTTTTTTTTTTTTTAGTTCTTTGTTTTGGATGTTAAACCTCTGTCAAAAGAGTAGCTGGCAAAGATTGGCTCCCATTCTGCGGGCTGTTTCCTCACACTGTTAAATATCTTCTTTGTGGTGCGGAAGCTTTCACATTTGATGCCATCCCATTTATTAATTCTTGCTGTTATCTCCTGAGCTAGAGGAGTCCTATTCAGAAGTCACTGCACGTACCTGTACATTGAAGTTTCTTCCCCTGATGTCCTCTTCTAGCAGCTGCAAAGTTTCTGTCTACTGCCTGATCTTTGATCCATTTTTAGTTGACTTTTGTACAGGGTAAGAGGGAGTCATCTGACTCCATTCTTCTACACGTGGGTCTCCAGTTTCCCCAGCACCATTTGTTAAAGAGACCGTCTTTTCTCCAACATATCCTTTTGGAACCTTTGTCCAAAACAAGATGACTCTAGTATTGTGGGTTTGTCTCTGTGTCTTTTATCCTATTTCATTGGTCTGTGCATCTGTTTTTATGCCAGAACCATGATGTTTTTGTTCCTATGGCTTTGTTGTCTAATTTGAAATCAAGTACTATGATGCTTTCAGTGTTGCTGCTTTTACTCAGGATGGTTTTGGATATTTTGAGTCTTTTGTTCTTTTCCGTATGAATTTTAGAATTGCTTTTTCTAGTTCTGTGAAGGATATCATTGGTGTTTTGATGGGGATTGCATTGAATTTATAGATTGCCTATGGCCATTTTAACAATATTAATTCTGCCTATTTATGAACATAGAAGGTCTTTCCATCTTCTAGTATACTCTCCAATTTTTTGAAGAATTCTGTAATTTTCTTTGTAGAAGTCTTTACTTCTTTGATTAGATGTTTTACATATTTTTTAAACTATTGTGAATAGTTTCTTTTAAAAAKATCTCATTTTCCTAAATTCTTTCTCAGCAGATTTATTATTGATATATAAACAAGCTATTGATTTCTGTATCCTGCTGCTTTGCTGAATTTGTTTATYAGCTCTAGAAATCTTCTGATGGAACCTTTAGGATATTATAAGTATAGGATCATATCATTTGCAAATAGGGATATTTGTTTTATTTCTTTCCCKTTTGTATCTCTTTGTTTCTTTCTCTTGTTTAACAGCTCCAGCTAAATTTTCAGGCACTACATTGAATAGGAGTCATGAGAGTGGACATCCTGCTTGTTGCTGATTTTAGAGAAAATGCTTTCAGTTATTCCCCACTCAGTATGACCTTGACTGTGGGTTTGCCATATATAGTCTTTATTATGTCTAATTCCATTCCAAGTTTCTTCAGATTTGATATCATGGAGGGGTATTGAATCTGTCAAAGGCTTTTTCTGCATCTATTGAGATGATCGTGTAGTTTTTGCACTTTGCACTGGTTCTATCTGTGTGCTGGATTRCATTTATTGATTTGCATATGTTGAACCATTCTTGCATTCCTGGAATAAAACCAACTCGATCATGGTGTGTGATGTTTACGATATGTTCTTGAATTAAGTTGCTAATAGTTCACTAAGGATTTTTGAATCTATGTCCATCAAGGATATTAGTCTATAATTTTCTTTCCTTGAAGTGTTCTTATCCAGTTTTGGTATCAGGGTGATACTCTCTTTGTAGAATGAATTTGGAAACATTCCCTCCCTCTCTGTTTCATGTAACAATTTGA